TTCCTAATGAATTGCATTGCTCAAATAGTAATTGTCTCCCTGCTTGGTGGTTTATGATCATTAACACCTCTGTGCCTTGGCAGCTGTAAAAGCCCTTCTGTTTGCTATGGAAACCTTGAAACCTGGGAAAGAAGGCGGCACGCAAGTGCCTTCCGTATCTCTTGCACTGGGGGCAAGAGTCACAAGATGCTCAAATGAAGAGACCGAGGAGAAAGAATAAGCCTTCCAAGAGCTCACACTGAACCCTGTGAGTTTGCATTTATATATGCATTTTTCTGTAATTACTTCCGCTTATTAGCACTACTCCAGCTTAAACAGAAAATAAGTAGGTACAGCTTTCTGTCGTTTGAAAGGCTATCGACGTACTTTTTGAAAAGCACAAATAATCATGATTAAAAAATCTTGATTAAAAAAGAACAAGGGAAAACCACAGTACAGAATACATCTGTTGATAAGTGATAGTTGTCGAGATCTCCCCTACACTAAACAGAATTATAAACAAGATGATACTTTTAGGAAAACAGAAATCCAGGTAGTCTTAAATATGCACCTTAAATAACTATATAATACAAAAAGGAATGACTCCATCTATACGATGAGCTGAATAAACTTCTTGAACTGCAAAACTCCCAAAGTTTCTAAGTGTTTAGAGCCATAATCAAACTTCAGGGCTCTGAAATATTGCTGAATCGTAACTAAAAATCGTAACTGCCTTGAACCCCAAATACTTCTCTTATTATTCTAGTACTTCAAAGTTTTATATAAATTAATGATAATTGAATCTCAGGTTCATGGTCTGGTACCTCACTGTCCCCTTAGAGGAGCTATTACCATGGTGATAAGATTGCTTAAATTAAGCTGTCTTTCTCCCCAGTACTTGGCTCATTGCCAGTGCAGTGAAGGGAGATTTCAGCCCATTCAGCACAGCATTAACCTTACTGCCAACACTGCTAAATGGGTTAGAGGAACTAGAAAGAAATTTGATTTTAAGAAGGAAGGAACAAGCAGATATGTAAAATACTGGAGCACAAAACAGGACTGAAAATAAACACTTTGAAACAAATTCAAAATTAGCTAAGTTTTCATATTTAGGCAGAAAACTTAAAAATTGTAATAGCTGGGTAGTCTAAATGCAAAACTTTACTCAAAATTTGCATGTCCAATGGTTTATCCATGGGGGAACTGTAACAGACTATAGAGAGGATCAGAAATAATGTCAGGTAAAAATCCCTATTTAACGTCTCGGTTTTTCTCCTTACTCGTGAATTTGACTGAAGTGGGAAAATAAATAGCAAACACCAGGAAAACAAAACAAAACAAGCAAGATTATGGGAACAAATACTGAGGCAACTAACAGGGCACGGAGAAAATGAAAAACAGTCCTTTGAATTGTTAGGGTTTAATACATACTCCATAAAAAGAAGTAAGCTATGTTCAGATGGGGCTGTCAGAGGTAATGACAATGTATTACATTGTAAATCATAAGATTTGAAATATCAGAGCAAAGTATCTATGAAACCCGAAAAAACAATTATTTTAGTGGAAAAGAAGGGAATAGGCAATAGGTTGCAAATTCTGGGGGAGAAGAAAAAAATCAATTTATGTAAGAGCCCAATAACCATTATCCTAAAAAAGAGAATCAACGTTTCCTGTGTTTTTATGTGGTGCGAGAGATCCTTGCAGTCCTCTTCTGGCCACACTTACAGATGATGCTGCGTGACAATGGAATTACTGCGTGTTCATAAGTCATTTTAACAGCGAGTTGTTTTCGGAACTGCGTGTGTGCGCATACAGCCGCGGCTGCACTGGCACGCGCAGCGCTGAAGCTGCCGCGCAGTCGGTCGGCAGCGCGAGCTGCACCTCCTACAGGTGCGGCTTTTCTCCAATGCGTTGATCAACAGCTATTCCATGACACGTCCTCTGAAGTTTTAAAGGTGTTCCTAATCCTTACTCTCATTTGAGTTGCATATAATCAGAATAACTGCCAGCGTTAGAGAAGTGGCCTTGGCAATGACATACGTCTACGCTATTTTTGGCGTTGCAAAAAGCTTGTGTGAACTTGAACAAGTAATTTCACCTTTCCAAGTCAGCGCCTCATTAAACAGTTGGGCTAGTAAGCTGGGTCCTGAGAAAACTGTTTTGTGGATTAGTCCATGCATACACCTCTAGATGAAGCACTTTTTCTATAAAAATACAGCAAAGTTTTACTCTAAAAAAACCCCACCTTTCAGAACACAAACCTCAGAATACGTCTTTACTGCAGTCCCTTCCATTCTAATCTAGGTTTTCAAATTCTAATTACATAAGAATACATGTCTAATCAGCATGTTAAAGATTTTCAGAAGTACAGAATTTTCTTCTACTTAAATATAACACATTATCATTATGAGCAGACTCATAAACTTGCTTCCTTTCTGACTGTCCAGGGTGAACAGGATTTACAGTCACACGATTAGTTCTAGGAAATCTTTTCCTGTCTGAAAATTCTCTAATACTATGTGGCTGTAGATAAACCATGCAAACACATGTGCTGTTTACGGATTAACAGCAGATATAGTTGGAGAGAAAGCTGAACATGTGCATCCTGATTTTTGCCTAGTTATTACGGTAGGGAATACATTACTGTCTAAGCCTTCTTTTTGATTGCAAATGCTCCAAGTTAAAAAAGAACACCTGCTTAGACATATTAGGTACGTACCTATTAGGTATGTACGTATTAGGCAGATTTTGTACTATTAAAGATTTAGCACAAAAATATAGCTGCCATGGACATGTTTCCCTTTATTTTGTAGGATTATTTTTAATGAGCCGCTGAACACTAATGGAGAAGGAAAGCAAGAGAATTCAGACATTAGACTGAAGTATTTGTTCAATTCTAGCTGCTCACTGTGTCATTACCTGCTAAAGGAAGAAAAAACAGGCTGCAAGCCCATCTTTTTCTCTAAGGCTGTGTTGTGTACTATAGACTTCTGGGAAGTGCTGATCACAAACGTTTTTTATTACAACGTTCCCCTGCTACATCACTTGTCCGCACATAAACTGCGGATACATCTGGGCAAACGGTCTCGCAGATTCTACTTTCAGATTGTACAGCCTTTCAGCGAGCTCCGTGAGCGGCTGCAGCTAGCTACCAGAGAGTGCATGAAATCAGCTGAACCAACCACCGAAGGGTAGGAATGTGGAAAATTCCCAGACTGATGTGCAGCCCACAGCATTTTCTAGCCTGAATTCCTAATCCACAGTGCAGCCCTTCTGTCAGTATCCAATTATATAATTATAGATACGACTATATATCTAGGTATTATACTAGATACTGTCCTTTATGAGAAGTTTCAAATTTGCAAAAATAATAATAATAAAAAAAAACAAACAGAAAAATGGAACTCAACTCAAAGGAGACTCGAAATTGGAAAGCATTTTCCCCATGGAGGTCTGAAGAGAAAATAGTGAGTAGTGATGCAGAAAGGCTACTAAACAAGATTTACCTAAGTGTTAACTGAAGAGAAACAAAAGGTACGTAAAGGGATCAGCCTTATATGCAACACAAAGCAGAAAGTATAGAACATATAAGAATATATATATAAAGAGATTTTTCTTTATAAAGATTATGTAAACAGAAGCTTCTATTTCCAGAAGGACTCCCTGAACTAAAATTTCGATTGTGTTCACTTGTGGACAAAAGTTCCATCCTCAATTCTTTTTGTGATTTGTGCTTAAGACAAATAAAGAAAGTTTTATTTCAGAATGAATCAGCGTATTCTTCAATGTTAATTTAATAGCCTTTCCGAGAAGAAAAACTTAATTTGACACTTCTGAGTGTTAAGTGTTCAAAGATGTATACTAAAATTAAGTTATGTAATAAAATAAAAACAACCTTCTTATAAAAGAACAAAATTTAGGTTTCAGTGATTAACTGTGACAACTGGCCCTTGGGCATATATGTATTAAATAAAACGCATTTCTATGCATTTTGCCTAATATTCTCTGGATCAGATTAGTTGGATGTCAGACATTGGTCTGTGTTTCACCAAACACAACTTTCACAGAGAGTCATGCACTTTATACGTTTCTGTGTTTTAGAATGCCAAAACCCAAAGGAAACGCTACTCAAAACTTCTTGGTGCTCTGTTCACAATGAAGAGGAAGAAGGTGGTAGAAAATCAAGGGCTTGTTTTAAGCATCAAGTCAGCAAACACAGCTGTAGTTGAAAGCCATCAAATTCGCTAATGCTTATCAGGAACAAAAAAGTTATTATAGCCAAGAAGTCAGAGGAAGCTGTGCGCATACCTCTGCAGGCAGAACTTGGAGTACTGAATCACAGGTGCGCTGACACCCAATGCGTCTGCTGTCAATTACTTTCCAGAGTAGATTATTTGTGTAAATTGTGAATGATCCTGAAGTTGAACCCTTCCTCCCTCAGCTCCTGGGGTCAAGGATCTCCACGTTCAATACGTGTCTTGGACATGTATCCTTTCTCTCCTTTACCAAATTATTATCAAATTATATCATTTGTGTATATTTGCAATAAAGTGTTTAAATACACATTGAGGAAAACATTATTTTAGAATTATTTCCTATTTTTTCTTATCCACACGAATGCTAAAGCCTGAACACTCACTGACTCCAGAAGTGCCAGAGTACACCAGTTAAACGAAACTTCTATCTTCCGATTACAAAAAGGGCCTGGGAGAAAGTGGGATGCTGAGACAAATACACAAGCACAAATCCTGACTGCACACAACTCTGTAATCTACACACCTTAAGGAAATCAATGCCTTCCAAAACTTTCCAAAACACGAGCATTAAGGATCTAGATGAATCAAGTTAGTAAGGCCTCACATGGCTACATGACATGGCCTCAAATCAAAATGCACTGGTATGTCCTGAATGACAAACTTCTAATTCCCCATCCCCATCCCATGTCAACGTCAGGCCTCCTCCCCATTTTTTTTTTTTTTCTGACATTTGAGACATGTTGTGTACCACGGGTTGCTCTGTACCTGGTTTCCAGCGGTATGTTGCTGTTCAAGACCCAGCTGTTATGGAGATGCACCGAATCTTGTGTACTGGTGGGGGGAGTCGGGGCAGCAGGACTGGGTTGGCTGCGGGTGGTCATTGATCTTCTCTGGAGAGAGTCAGCTGTTGGAGGTGGTTTCCTGGCGCAGGTGCAGGCATGCGGTGGTGGAGGCGGCGGTGGGAGAGGTCTGAAGGTGAACTGGTTGTGTGGGCTACCTGGCATATCTGAAACAACGAAGAAAAGGCAAAGAAACCCAGAGTGTTATTATTTAGACTAGATATAAAGAAGAAATTTTTCACAATGAGGGTGGTGAAACTGGTCCAGGTTGCCCAGGGAGGTGGTAGATGCCCCATCCCTGGAAACATTCCAGGTCAGGTTGGACGGGGCTCTGAGCGACCTGGTCTAGTTGACGATGTCCCTGCTCGTTGCAAGGGGATTGGACTAAATGACCTTTAAAGGTCCCTTCCAACCCAACCCAAACAGAATTCTATGATTCTATTTGAAAAAGATCAAGAAAAGAGCATGAGCATGATATAGTATTTATTGGGATTAAAGCACTGTGCTTTATCATGTTGTTAACCCAGTTGCCTGTAAAATGTTGCACGGTAAGAAACAATTTAAGATACCTACTGAAATGAATATTAGACACAGACACACACCTTACAGCGCTGTAGTTCAGTAGTTCAAAAAACAACAAAGAAAAATAAAAAAAAGAAGATATACCATTCACTTAATTTGCCATAGGATTTTTTGGGGAGGAGAGTAAAGAAGAAATAAATCAAGTTGACATTGAATTGCAGCACAGATAGCAATTGTTTTCATAAGGTATAAATCTCATTTTAAAACAACTGTGAAAGAAACAGACATAGTATAAGAAGGAGTCTTGAACTTCAAATCAAGAGAGAAAATAACTGAATAATTCCTTCCACCCAACAAACACCTTTCATAAACCAAGGTTAACACATTTCTGCAAGTCTGTTGCCGCATGTGTTAAATGAGACCTGCGAAGAGGCACTCTTAAAGACTACCCGAAGCACTAATGACCCAGACACCCAGAGAAAAGGTTTTATAGCAGCCAAAGGCAGATGAGCTGGCAAGGAACTCACAGCCACCAGACCAGGCTACGAAGGAGACGGAGTAAAAGACGTGCGTGGCGGGTACCGAGGCCCTGCTGCCTGTGCTGCCGCTGCCCCACGCGACCCTCAGCGCTGCCCTCGAGCCCCCGCGAGGGGCACGGTAAGTGCACGGGGCCTGCCCGTGCTGGCACCGCTACGTGGCTTCCGGGCGGCTCAGCCTGTGCCGCTGAGCTTGAATCCTTCTGCAAAAGACAACGAAGATACAAATTTGGTGTAACGATACTTTGAGAGGACGGTAAAATCTTGTTTTCTCTATTTCCCGCAAGAGTCTCCAAAGCCTCTTAGTACAGCAAGAAACACAGCTATGGAGAATCGAGGCAAGAAATTCCTTTTTAAAAGAACAATAACAAATACTTTGCTGACGAGATGCTGATAAGAATTGCTACCAGATTGGGTGAACTGTGAAGCTATTAACCTGAAACTCTTCCAGTTAATTTACCTCAGTGCCTAATGTGGCTTTGTCCCATTTCTACACTCACCCTCACTCTCCCTTTTACCTTAGCAGATGTCCAGTTAAATTTGCACAAAACCAGCTGCAGCGCAGCTCTGATGAACCTGCAAAAATTCCCTGACAGGAACTGTTGTTGTTATCCATTTACAACACACGGTTTCTTTAAATTATGCCACGAAGTGTTTTCAAGGTGAAAGATGAAAGTGTGCCCCTTCCCTTCTTGGTATGGCTGGTGGAAAAAAAAACCCAACACTTTTTTTCCTCTGTGACAGTCACAATTTACCCCAACTGGAGAAACAAGGTTGTTTAGTGCTCCACATAAGCTCTTCTATGCTGCGGTAAGCAAAGCTGTCACGGATTTGACCCAGGCTTAATCCTTTTAATTTCATTGATCTTTTATCAAGGCAGTATTCTTACTGTTGCATTAAGGTTTATGCTGTAATATTAGTTTGCATATACCAGAAGAGCATTTCTAAGCATATTAGAAAACTGGAGACCTCAGTAAATTAAGTCACTGGAATCCACAGTCCAGAGCGCTGAAATAATCTGCTAAGGCACTTTCATATAATAATTAATCCCAGTAAATCCTGCATCCTGCTATTTTAGAATTGAAAGCTACCCAAATTTTGGCCATAATATTTGATGTCCAGCATCCTCAAGTATTGATCAATAACATCCCCTTACTTAGCGGTATCAATCTTAAATCCACTCTACAGAAAATCTGCAGGATTATTATACGTATTATTATACAAAATGACAAGTCATTTTAAGGGTTGTGCCGCTGCCCTGTTAGAAAATCGCTGCTCTTCGCCAGGCCACGCAGTGAGACTCTACAAGGTACATCAACAGCTATGCGGTAAATGCCGAGCAGCCAAGGTCACTGCTTCTCTGGGTAAATGGGGGAAAAAAATATGTATCAGCTATATGGCAACGCATTTTCTAGTTCCTTTCTTCCCCCTCTACCCGCACTGTCCCTACCCGGGCGACCGCACACAATTATCTGACAAACACTTTAGTTTGTTCCACGCCATACGCTGGTTCTGCTTTGTGAACCGTAAAGTATTTCTGGCTGGTAGAGCACCTTATATCTCCCAGTGCAATTTATCTCCATACATTAATGCATACGATTTCCTGGGGGATTCCTTTTTAATTATCACACTGCTCAGCCCTTCGTCCAGCTACTACCATCACAGAACATCTCACATCAGATTCTGAAGCATTTTGGTGATTTAAAGGCAAGTCTTCTGCATCCAGACCTTCACTTCAGTGCAGTAATGCAAATCGTTATGCTGAGAATCAGTCTGAGTTTCCAATTAGGTTTTAGACACTTCTTAATTTGGCAGATACTTTTATTTTGCTTGAAACTAAGTCTACATCTCATTAACTTTATTTTTATACCACAAAAAAAGTTGCTTGGGATATAAAGCAGCATTATACCTAAATATGCGTGTTTACGATTCTCCAGGACTCCGAATAAACAGTAGACTCTGTAAAATAACTTACTGCAAAATCATTTAAATACCTAAAAAGTGATATTACACAAGATAATTTGTCTAAAGCCAACATGTTTTCGAAATGTACCGGAGTGATACAGAAATTAGCCTACCTATCCTGTTGCTATTGTTCAGCATAACGCTATCCATAACAACTCCCGTTTTCATTTTCAGCGGTTTCTAATAATGTTCAGATTTAAACATTTTTTTTTTTACATCAAAAAGTCTACGTATGATACGCAAATACAGTGTTATTTGTTTTCAATGTGTTCATTGACATGGCAGAAGTTTCCATTCATCTAAAATGTAACTATAAAACATGATTTGAGCTTAAACTTTGCATTTACAATAATCTGTTTCAAATCAGATTTTCATCTGAAGAGTGTCCGAGCCAGAAGAGATGCTCGTGGCCCTCACTATTGGCCTTCTGATCTGAACTTGCATTTAGCCTTTTTTTTTTTTTTACAGCAGAGGCTGTTTAGAAAATGTCTAAATTCTTCCCCCTGAAAATTCATTATTTTTAAATAGTTCTCTCATTTCAGCAGAGCACATCTAGAACTGTGACATTTGCTGAAGAGAGCTATACAACATTCTGCTTCTTTAGTGGATTCTTCAACAACAACGGTAATTGCTTTTTTTCATTTGAGACACTTCCCAGGCTCCATGCACTCAGTCCAAAAGAGAAACCGCTGTATTCATGCTAGCTACAAACAAGAAAAACTTGTAATTCTGCTAGTTTGAAGGATTTCTACTTGTCCTCCTCTTTTTGAGGTTTGAAGGGAGGAGTTCTGCTTCTGTCCTGAATGTTTCTTCTTCGGTTCCGACTGACTCTTTTGGACGGCCCTTGGTCAACACTGCACACCCGCTGCCCCGTGGCAGTTGTACAATGGAGCTTGGTACCCTCCAGGTTCGGAGCGCAGCCCTCAGCAGCTCCTCTCCAGCTGCTGAGCTCTGCTACCACCGCCTCCTCCTTCGGGAGATACAACAATTCAGCTCTTGCACTAGGCTTCTGCTTTTCAAAAAGTGGAAAGTTGTTTAACTCGGATGCTTCCCTTACTCTGCGGTGTTGGTCGAGTGCCGCCCTTCTGCTCAAAAGGCACTGGGGGCACAGACCGACGGACACCAGCGGCAGTAACAGAAACATAAGCCTGACTTAAGAGTCAGACTAAAATGCCTTTGTAATCATAAACACGTAGCCAAACTGCTTTATAGACTGACAAAAACGAAATAAGTAGCTTTAGCAACTAGTTATCACCCGATGAAAAATTAGTTTTGAAAATAAGCCAGGCCTTTGCTGAAGCATTTTCCCAGCAGTTTTGAAGCATAACTTACTATACTTTTTGGATCCACACAGAAAGAAGGGGTAATTGAACTGTTTTATCATTTACTGACAGGGCTACAATAGCCTGTATCGTTACTAAGTGAAGTATATCAGACAGAATATATTAAAAAGTAATGAACCTTAAAAGGTTTCCATCTAACCTGTAGTGCTTTTGAGATATTTTAATTTTTTCAGTTCCTAAAGTCATTATTTATTGCTAGGTTTGGATTTTTTTTTAACTAGACATGTCTCAGCTGAGCATGAATTAGCTTGCAATTCATTATTTAATGAATGAAATAACAACATATGTTCAGAGAGTTTAGTTTATTTTGAAGTTATACCTTATATATATAAAATATATATTTTTTTATATATATATGTAAGGTATACCACTGCTCAATTACAAGCCAATCTGTATTTTTTCTCAAGCAGATATGAACGAGCATAATGGGCACTGAAGAACTGGAAAAAGATTCAGTGCCGGGAAGACAGAGACGCTGAATGCTTAAGACTAGAGCTAAAAAGCATAGAATAAAAATTCTCAATTTTACAATGAGATTTATGCTCTGGGTCTAAAAAGTCAAATCAAGACTTATATGCAGGTGCTACCATTGCAGAGTGCTGGTTCTGTTACATGTTAGTACACTTACTGACGTTGCGTAGGTCTTCATACCTTTTCCTTCCGTTCTAAATTTCAAATTATTCTTTTTCTATGTATGCACCAATGACCTTCATAAGCCCCTAATTATCTGTTGTCTATCTCCGAATTCCTTTTATTTTTGCTGTCACATATGTTGAGAGAAGGTGAATATGAAAAAAAGTAATTGTGTATGAAATTGCTCTATTGAAGTATAAATTTTCGTTGTGTTTCAATAAACTATTCTACACTTGCTCCTCCTGATGTAGCTCAATTTCGTTGGCTACCTTACTTGCATAATCCTTTGCTTCCAGAACTTTGTCAGACCACTAGGATGTAAAGCATCTAACCAGTACATTTAATAGCAATTTACCTTTAGATTATTGTTTTGCTGTATGTAACTTTTTTCCTCAGCCTTACTACACAGAAAATCTTCCAGAATATACAATATCAAACATCTCTAAAGAATTCTAAAAACCATATGGTTTTATGCAAAATAAAGTTTATAATGTAACGAAAGCTTTTAAACTAAAAGTCATATGGACTCAAAGTTTACATATGAAGTAAAAGAAATTCAGAGACCTCCAGAGACCAACGCCGCTGGCCACCGCAGCCTGCCGGCTGATGGCCACGGTGCTTTCAGCTCACCCCTGCGGCAGCTGATTTTCCTTGTGAGCAGGCTGGGATGGCCCAGAGCAGACTGAGGGAAGGGGGGAGGAACCAGTTAAGGGGATCATCAAGGGGCTCTGGGCACTTTATTTATCAGTACAGGTACCCCCTCAAATAGCCAAGTACATAATTTCAGACCATACTGCCGCTCGAAGAGTAGAATGAATCCTACATACCACTATTTAGGCCATTCTGAAAACTCAGCGCTTCACTTCCAAAGAAAAATTAACAGAGATCCTATGGCACGTACTTTGGCGTCAATGAGCATAACATACAGCTGGATTTACATTGTAATAATGTAATGATGTCAAACAAATGATGTATTAAACACTTAGTCCGATGTGTTCACATGGATCCCATCAAGTTTTCCCTTTATGTTCTCAGTATCACATATACTCAATTCCCTTGAATCCCTTACAATTATACACACACAGAGTAACAGCTTCTAACTTGTAATTTGTGGATTGTTTTGAGATTTGGTAAAAGGAGAATTCTAATCATTTCCTAATGCTAACAAAAACTTACTTCTCCTTCAGCATTTCCAAATTTAGCCATGGTTAAAAATTAAATACGATGGCAATTCAACTGTTTTTAAAACACAAGTAACATTTACATTTAATGTTGCGTGGTCTAACTATGCAGGAAAAAAACAATTCTATTCTGCATATAAGCTACAAGGACAACAAGGATTTCTTGTGATGGCTGTGCAGCACTTTTTCTCTTTTTACACTAACAGTCAAAACTTGTACTCTTAAGACCTGAGTGACTATATTTTGTAAACACTAGCAGTGGATTGCATTCTAGGAAACTTCACAGAAACGTAATGACCCAGGTTTTAAACACCAGAGGAAAAAGGACCAATAGAAGCATCACCAGCAGCTCTCTCTTTAAAATACCATTGCTTTTACAGAAGTAAATGTTTTATGTTTCTTGAATTCTACTTAATGCAATCTCTTGTGAAACAGTGCTAATCTCAGCTAAAATTCCTTCTGGAGTCCGTATTTATTTAGGAAGACTAATATGAGCCCGGGATTTTCCCATTATTTTAATTTACATTTTTGGTCCATTTCTAACAAACAAATACTGGATTACTTAAAGTCTCCTAGAAAATCTTCACGAATCAAGGAGTATAAATGGACTTTATTACCTGAAAATTATATTGATAGCAAGTATCAATGCCTTAAAACTTCTAGAAATAGAGAGCATGAGGAATTTTCATTGGCAGGACTTTTGTATTCGCCAGTAATTTCCCATTACTGTTGCGCATCAGCACGGTAACACTGCTGGGCTCTATTTCTGGTAAAACATCAATTAGTAGCATGGCAAAAGTGAAAAAAATACTGCAGGTCTCAGTGTTTTGGAAAATAAACCAGAAGCGTCTCAGAAGTGTCTCTGCAAACAAACTGTTTCTTGACTCAGCTGCAGGAAGAATTTTTCAGGCAAAAGAACAGAGGTTAGAACTCATTAGAGAAGGAAAGGCAGTGATTTATCACTAGGGAACTACCACATGGCCACCCTTTCCAGCTTTGCTGATAGGATGCATTTAATAATATTCTGCTTTTCAAGATACAAAAAGTTCTGGCATCTGGCATCTTCGCACCGTATACTTAGCGAAGTATTTTTACTTTGTAAAATTCTTGAAATAAGACTTACACACTCTCTTTTTTCAGGTGTGCGTAGGGGAGACTTTTTGTTTTCTCTGATGATAGAAATGTTAATATACTCAACCCAAAAGAAGGGCTTGTGGGCCCAAAGCTATTTTTTTTCCCCAGCTGTGTCAGCTGGTGCAATGAAAGACATTACCTTTCCTGACAAACTTTGCCTCACTTAGAGGCACTTACACCTCTAGACCATTAGAGCTACCACAGCACTACTCCTCCTTAATTAACTCCATCACTCAGCGTTTTAACTTGGGAGCCTGGCTGCTTAACTAGAATAATTTTGGACATAAACACCGCACTGTAAGATGCCATTCTCTGTGCTGTAGTTTGTAACCAGAAATGGGTTTCAGGTTATAACGCTGTGTACTGTGGATAAGATCCAAGTTTTAAATGTTATCGTGCAGAAGCACCTGACTATATAAACACGCTGATGCCTGTTCATATAAAATAAACATTGCCAAAGGGGAGTGAAAAGCTCCTGAGGTGCTTTTATTCTGCTGAATCGTCTGAATTATAGCTTTGTTCTACAATACTTCTTCAAATAGCTGTTAAATACCAATGCACTCTATGTATAATATTCACATGAAAAACATTCTTCCATTTATGTGAAATGCTGACATTTATGTCAATTAATACGACAAATTCGAAATGAAACTACCCTACTCCCTCCCCCCCATCTCCCCCGTTACAGGCGATGCATCCGTCAGATCCTCTCAAAATACCCATCCCGTTGAGACAGGACTCCTCTTACATCACTGCAGTCTGTCCACGACACGACAGGCCCGTTGGCGGTCGAGTCACGGAGGTCAAGGACAACACGTGAAGGGAGAAGAAAAGCAGCACTCCAGTCATGATGGAGACCGAGGGGACAACCTAAACAACCAGCTCAGGCTTCCAGCGGTTTGTTTAGCAGATCAAGCAGCCGCTGGTACAATTAACATCACACAGCGTTCAAAGAGCAGGAGCGGAGACTGACAGCTCCCAGCCAGCTTAAAGGTGGTATTTTCAGGAAAAGGCTTGATTCCTGCTATTACTTAAAAGTGGTGGGTTCAGTCAGTATCACGAGTTGTAACTTCTATCAGCAGTACTCACAGGGGACAGTACAATCACTATTCTACAACTCGGAACAAAGCGGGAGAGATTATAGCTTACAGAGTAAGCCTATCATCCAGGTTTACAGAAGGCAGGCAGTTACAAGTAGCCTGGAAGCAAATTTTTATGACCTTAGAGGTGAACAGATTTTGATTAAAGAGCAGTTTATGATTGCTAAAATAGGTTGCAAGCAGCCACGGCTGTAAAAATTAATGTTTCCCCGGTTATTGATGGTTTTCGGCAGTGATACATATTCAAGTTTTGGCCTTTGAGCCACTAAATTCATTAGCTGTGAGGAATTTCCAAAAGGGATCTATGGGTAATGGAATTAGTAACTATAAATCATACTGAAATACACAGTGTATTTAGCCCAGTAGTTCAGTGGAAATATCATGAATATGGACATATTAAGCCACATACTAAGTCACCAACCTCTGTGCAGTGGATGATAACCTTCCCTGCCTGCCTCTTACCTGCTTCATCCGTGTTCCCGTTGCTTTGCAACGTTTTTAGGAAACAAGAGTCCTTGAGGCCGTGCCCTGTTACAGACCCCAACAACGTAAAACCCTGCAGCGTTTGAGCCCACGGCACTGCAGTGGCTGAGGTGAAGACTCTTCGTTTCAGCGCTTGCCTTCTCCAGGCTGGGGACAGCGACATGAGTCCTACCAGCTGACTGAAGTAGAGAATCCTGTTCACCTTAAAAGACCAGCCATGAGAGATCAGATTGTTGATTTACATTTTTGTAAATATAAAATATTCTGTGGCTCTACAGAAATAAGAAAAGATGATAAGCCCTAAGTCATGGTTAAATCTGCCAGTTACATCAGGACCTGAACTCAAGCCCTGATGAGCATGTTCATGCACGTTCCTGAAACTACTGGCAGCAAGATCCCAAGCACATCCCTTATCTGTTCAGACTCAGACAGAGCTAGCGCTTTGTTGGCAGCACTGCAAACTTACTCTAAGTTTACTTCAAGGTGGAAGTGCCTGAACTTTCTGGCTTCAAGGATGAATCACACTCCAGCTTCTTCCACCTGGATATATAAGGCTTTGCTCAGGACACCTCACTCTCTGCACTCCACGTTATCATGCCAGATCCAGACATCCAGCATGTCTCCTGACGCTGTTTTGCAGAGCATAATGGAAAAAACTAGATCCATTTTTACAATCAATACCATGTACAGATGTAGAAGCTTGAAGCTCTTCCAGATCGTTCAGTAATTACCTCTACCCCCATGTATTTACCTCATCTTTAAGACAATCCTTTTAGAAATACATTAATGAGCGAACATCAGGAGAAATACAGACTAGTTTCTATGTTCATAATATTCTGAAGAACATGTTTATAGCCTATGTAAGAAAATGAAGTTCTCTGTTTTATTTAATAAAACAGTATTCCATATGTTTTTATTATGGATTTCAGCTTGACATGAACATCTTTACATATATTTCTAGTGACTGTTACATGAATATAGAGAGTATTAAAAAATAATTCATTTATCTGTGGTTCTATAGTAACTTGTGGAAGGGCAGAAAAGCTGTCAAATGTATCCATAATATATAAACATATGTAGAGTTTAACTGGTTCTAGATGCATATCTATCTCAAATTCATCAAAATAATACTAATGTAGTACTGTTTTATAAATAAACACTAAGAAATATTTTTCTTGACAGAAGACTTTGCATCTAGATTTTGCGTAAACACTGTAGGCAGTTAAATAGACTACAATGTCTGAGAGAGCACTGCATAAAGCCTTAGACAGGGCTCAGCACATCCAGCTGGAGGATGCAGAGCACCACAATGCATGGTCATCACACTGAAATAAGCTAAAAATTACTTCAGGTCATATCACGGTATTAGGTTCTTTAAGTAGATTTGGGCATTGTATAGAAGAGTTTACTTCTTGTTTAATTCCCGGGGAAGAGGTGTAGCGGTGCAGTGATGGTCCAGGACCATCCAATGGACCACAGCAGTGCTGGGGCCATCTGGGTGGCTTTGCTCTACAGGAGTAGAGAAGTAGAAGGCAGCTCGCTCAAAGCCGGCTGTTCAGAACAAATATCCAGTTTCAAAGCACATATTGTCCTTCTGAAGTTTTCCTTTACAAAAACAAATTTTTAAATAGAGAATTATTCCAGATTATCTTTTAATTCTCTACTTAAAGAGAGAATTATTGTTTTCAATAAGGGAAACAATTCTTTTTAAAAACAAGAGAAATGGTAACGTTAGCTGTAGGATAGTTAGCATCAATTTATTCTTGGTAACCCTTAGAAGTACATGGTATTATTTAAGGAGGTTGCATGTAATTGTCAGCATAACAGAAAGCTATTTTTCACTCCCCAAATGATTTTACATGGTATCTCAATTTCACTAAGTTAGTTAAAGGATATACCTCAGTGTCACATTAGCTGACCGACTACTTCTGCCTTTTATCCCTAGAGGTAGTTAGCAAGTTCCTGTCCCTCAATCCATAAATAAAAGAAATGCTTCTACAAAAAGATCTCTTCCTGCCATTGATGATTGCTAACATTTTATTTAGGAATGTTGACACTTCTCCTATAGTACGGAGCTTGCTGGGAGGAAAGGCAACGGTACATGTGTAACTGATGGTAAACAACAAATCGATTATATTTTAAAGAAAAGAAAAACTCCTGTAGGGAAAAACCAACCCCCCACCACAGAACCAGCTAATGTAATGCCTGAAAACGAACGTAACAGCCAAGGCACAAACCCACAGCGTTCAAGTTAGTCTCTCTAATGCAGATTTAGGCATTCAGAAGCAAGCATGCAGATTTTCTGAAATACCAATATGCTTCTACCACTCCACTGAAGTGGGGGTTGTGGCCTGGCTCCTCCAAACTATTAAGGCCTTTTTACGCCACTCTGCATTTTATTATTAGTAGCCCTGCACTCTCAAACACCTTCGAAGATCTGAGCAGAGCGTCTATCACGTACCGAGAGGGTCACTCCTGCATAAACCCACGCAGTGAACTTCAGGCAGTAAGGTCTGACAAGCTTCTCCCGCTGTTCTTGCTCAACTTGCAAAAGCACTCTAGTGCAAGTCAAAATTAACAAAGATTACATCATTTTACAGCATTAATAGGTTATAAAAGTTCTTTGCGACGGTATCCTCAGTTCACCTCACAACACATTTCTAAGGTGCATTTCACTCAAAGCTTATCTATATACAGTTGTTTAAACTCTTTGTAAATAAGACACACATTTTTGAATATTACTAGAAATTACATCTATAAAATATCGAATAAAACCTTCAAAACAAATGCATAAAGAAGTATCAAGGGAAACATACTTTTTCATATGAATCTAACCAACAAAGTATTTTAATGAGTGCACATCTATTAAGAGAATTCTCAGGATACTGTAATTATTATTCATTTTCTAGAATTGTTTCACCATGAAGCTTTATGCTACTACGGGGACTTTAATGTTTATGTTTTGTGACGGCTGCGTTGACTATTAAAAAGCAATTTGGCTGACATTTTAAGTCTTTTGTTGCCAGTTTTAATTGGATTGTTCACCAAGCATCAACTCCCCCGTTAACTGCAAAAATTACAGGCCAACGTCAGTTCATAGTAATGACTGTTTAACGATTTTATCCTGTCAGTATGCCAGCTTCATATGGATGCATGCATGATTAGTTTCATATCAAGACCTGTAATTAAATAATTGAAACCTCAACAAAAGAGAATACCAAACAGGAACATGTCCTTAATGAAGACTCAAAGATTTATCAAGATGCTCATTCCAAATTAAAAAATAATTAATGTTTTGAGGTCACACAGTTCAAGAGTTGGTCTTAAGGAAAAAAGGTCTCTGCACCCTTTACTGTAAATTTCCCTTTAAGTGTTGAAAAGTTTGAGAGGTCACTGCAGTGAGTCTTTCTCCTTATCATTCTTAAAACTGACTCAAAATTATTCATAACGCATTATTAGCTATTTTTGTTTGCTTTCCAGACTAGGTAAAGCTGCTTTTATAACAATAATTATAAGACAGAAAAATAATTATACCTCAACTGAAACTTACAGTACTTACAATCAAAGAACAAGAAGCCCACTACTCAGAAATCCAGATTCTTGGAAGAAAAAAGGATTATTATTCTTTGTTCAGCTCTGAATCCTATGCCAGACTCCTGCGTATTTCAGAATTTCAAATAGAGCAAAAAATGGCTTTTAGAAGACAACTCTTTGCAAATGTGAGATATCCATGAAAATAAAGCCAGAAACAGAGACTCACAAAGCGGGGCCAGCACTGCAAAGGCAGCGAGTGCCTCCTCATCCTGCTCAGACAGAGTTCAGGAAGCTGGGGGCTTCTTGGAGGATTTCACACCTTATGGTTTTGGCCATCCGACGTGGGTGGGAACATTCTGTAGGCAGTTAAACTCTTGAATTTTGAAAAGAACTTGGTATTTTGAAAGAGAAGGTTCCAGGAAGACCTTATTGCAGCCTTCCAGTACCAAAGGGGGCTTAGAAGAAAAATGGGGACAAACTTTTTAGCAGGGCCTGTTGCAACAGGACAAGGGGTAAAGGTTTTAAACTAAGAATGGGTAGACTTAGACTGGATATAAGGAAAAAAATTTTCACAATGAGGGTGGTGAAACCCTGGCACAGGTTGCCCTGAGAGGTCGTAGATGCCACATCCCTGGGAATTTTCAAGGTCAGGCTGGACTGGGTTCATTACAGGGAGGGTTGGACTAGATGATCTTTAAACCCTTCCAACCCAAACTATTCTATGATTCTATTTCACACATTTTGATACTTAGAAAGTCAAGGGAAAAAACTACTGACCAAGGGTTCGCACTGTTTTATTAATAAGCACACCTGCACTACAAAATTTGGGATAGGGTGTCTCTAAACTGAGCTGCTACATTTACGGATTCCCATTAAACTTAGACCTCAAAAGCCAAATACCAGACTTTATTGTGTTATGCATTCAGTAAATACTCAGCCAAACTTCAGCAATTTACTGTAACTTAGAAGAACTTACGTTCATCTGTTTTCAGGCTTGACTTTTATAGACTATAGTCACCTACTAGAAAATATTAACCTACTAGCAGGTCAATAGATTTTCAAGGTTGCTTCATTTTTATGTACAAAAAGCTGTATGCCTCACAGAATCACTAATTTTCCTTTTATAGCCAGGATGATGGCCTAAAACCTGTTCTGACCAAACTTTTGAGCAGATGGCTTTATTTGAAAGATTTAGAGGTAAATTTAGGACCCATATCTTTTCCCACTTACAACAGCATGATATGGGATTAACTCCATTGATTTCAATTACGTTATTCTGCCTTGGTTTGCTAGCTGTAACCGCAGAAGCCGAGTCCAACTTTGATAGGCCATACACTTTTTTTTTTAAAATATATTTAGAAACAGAAAATTTGTAACTTCAAAATATCAGCTGTGAAACACCACACGGTTCTGTTCCAGGAACGGGGTTACTGTATTTGTGATTTAGAAAGGGATGAACCACTGAACCAGTAAAATATAGGTTGACACAAACCTAATTTGTAAAATAAGAAGGACCAGCAGAGGTATGTGAACGGAGCATCCATCAGCAGATGAAAATTCACACCGACAATGCAAGGTACCTCAAATTGATTGCTGAGATCTAAATTAACTCCAAGTACTCAGAAAATG